GATGAGAGTCGCTTTCATCTTTATCACGCCGATGGCCGTCAACGTGTGTGGAGACGTATTGGGGAACGTCTTGCAGACTGCTGCGTCTTCGAAATGAATCGATGGGGTGGGGGAAGTGTAATGGTGTGGGGAGGCGTCACATTTCATCACCGGACCGCCCTTAAACATTTGCAGGGGTCGCGTTAATGTTGTAGCCTACCGTGATGATGTTTTTGCAACCAATTGTTGTTCAGCACTTCCAACAGGATAATGCACGTCCGCATACCGCCCGTTTTAGTATTGATTACCTGGCAGCCATGTCTCCGGACATGGCACCGGTAGAACATGTCTGGGATGAGATTGGACGCCGTCTGTATCGGAGACCACAGTTGCACACCATTGTTGCTTTAGAAGCTGCTCTTGTCCAAGAATGGAACAATTTGCCCCAGGCCTTCTTTCAAACATTGGTTAATTCCATGCGACCTCGCTGCACAGCGTGCGTAAGAGCCCGTGGAGGACACACGCGCTACTGACATCTGTGTTGATTACAGATTAAACATCCATAAGTATATAAATATGTTGTTATTGATGTGTTCCCATTTGAATATTGTTCACAATAAGAAGCAAAATAGATAAGATATGTTTACAGGATCATTTTGTTATACGAAAAACTAAGTGATGAGTTTTCCATGGCGCTCAGTATATAAACAACAGAGTAAAAATAACCCAAAGCACGTGTTTTATGTAAACACATATGTCACGTTTGCAAACTTCTGCCACTCCGGTAAAAGCGATATATAATATGTGCTAGTGGGTAATATTGCAATACAGTCTTTACCATTGTAAACTGTCTTTAGAGTTTCAATCTGTTTAACTGTCAAAACAAGATTAGATACTCCTAAATTTGTCTTCGCAAACAAAGCCGCCTCTGTGAAATTATCCTTCATGGGAGCCGCCATATTTTGTGAGGACTATTTTGTTATTCGGCTCTGATTAGTTTGACATCTTTCATACACACAACGGCTAAATAAACATATTTAATTTCATGCAATATGACAATAGAAGAGAAATAAATACTTCTAAAAATTTCTAAAAGCATACGCAGTGTTTTCGACAAAAATCGTCGATGTAGGAATTTAAAATGTCGGTTAATTAGGTTAGGGCCTGTTCTCAGGCGGAGCTAACTGTAGGCAGACAGCCTAAGTTTGGGATGAGTCGGGTAAAGAAATACAAAATATTACATGATCTGGTCGACCCTCGCACACTAATACCAGCGTTTGCAAAATATCATCACAAGAAATGTCTGTCAGAGTGTTTTTTGTAATACCTGATCATGAAGATGTACGATAAACTGCTGCACGATTTTCATGTGGTACACATTTGAGCCAATCTAGTCAAAGAATTCACGCCAATAATCACAACCCTCCCAGCAACACCCACCACCAGATACTCGGCAGACTTGCATTCGGTATAATTAGATCTATAATAATTACAATGATATCCGGAGCCACGGTGACTCAGTGAGTAAGACGGTGGTTCGCTAGCCTGGACAGCGCGGGTTCGCTCCCGTTGTTTGTCGAGAAAGCTCATAGTAGGGTTTGCCCGGCGTGGTTTCCTCTTATCAATGAAGCAGGACGGAGGGTCTGACAAGGTCAGCTGTCTATAGTCTTTCGGATAGGACGAAAAACCGAGGTTCCGTGTACACATTGGCATGCACGTAATATATCCCTTGGCAGTTGACATTCGATGTAAGAACATGTCTAGGCAGTAGGGCCGCTGTCCTGGCAAAATTTCCATCATACCACATTATGGCGTATGCGCGTCTTCATTAGCCCAGTCGAAACAGAATAGTAAGACGGGAAACCGCAGATCCTTTGATCTGTCATCCGTATTGTTTTTAGCACAATACAGGCCTTATTTATTCCCCTTTGTAACAACAGCTTGTTAATATCATTCGATTGGTTTGTAGATAAAGTCTTAATGGAGCTTTCGGGAAAGGCAGAAACTTGATGGCCAATTATGCCGAAGATGTTAAATGGGTTATAAAACGTCGCAATCCCGACACTGTAGTTTTTGATAAAGAAAAAATTCAAAATATCATACATTTTCTCATTGACAATGCCATATTTGAGGTTGGGGATCAGATAATACAGCAAACTATTGGTTTACCAATGGAAACTGATCCCGCCCCATTTATTGCAAATGCACATTTATATAAATATGAATTCGATTTTCAAGACCATAAAAGAAAAACAGATTACAAAGTAGCTAAAAGTCTAAACTATACCTTCCGATACATTGATGACATAACACCTATCAATGATAACGGAATTTCAACAAATATAAAAGTGAAGTATATCCTCCTGAACTAATATTAAATAAAGAAAATTCCGGCACTGTAAATGCATCTGTTTTTGACCTGGACATCTATATAATTAACAATAAATTTAATGTCGGTATTTTCGACAAAACGGACAACACGGTGAACAGTCCATATGCTGATTACACTATTTTGCCTGATTACACTATTTTGCCTATACCGTTTTTTTAGGACTTCGAATTTTGTCTAATGATTTGGATTGTTCGTACTTGGTTTTATTTTATTTGAAGTAGTAAAATACCCGTCAATCTATAGTAAGATACCACGTTATATAATGTTTTCTATTCACAGCCATTACGATTTTTGACAATATGTAACAATAAAGAACTCTTTCTTTCTCGAATAAAATCTCTTTACTTTAAATGCACTGCCAAATGCGGCACACAATTACGCATTTTAAAAGAAATTTCAAAACTTCCATTTCTTCAACATACCAAGTTTGACATTTCTTATAAGTATATAACCGACTACATATTGGATAATGATCCAAGTCAAATTTTATCTTAATTTTCTGTAGTAACCTAACCCTGTCTGAGTTATCCCCCTTATTGTTATGCCTTTATAAATACACTTACATAGTACGATTTCTTTAGCATACCTGTTTTGCATTTCTTGTGTGGGATATTAATTTAATATATTATAAATTGTACAATTACATAACTTAATAATTTCGATTGGTCGCTTAAACTTATAGTTTATTAAGCTTTTAACGTTATTTTATCTGGATTATCGCCCTTTTTATTGTGATTTTTTTATCACCTTCTAGTTATGACGTCGTTCCCAAAATAACGTCACTCGGTCAGCAGACGGCTATCTTTCGGGACAGTCTACATTTCCTATTCGCTTCATTGTATTAAGTTTTTTTTTGTTTTTTGTGACGGATGGAACATGTACCCTATATCATGTATTCAATATACCTCGATTCCATTGAATACTGAAACGTTTCTTGACTGATTTATAATATTTAGACTATTTTTTACATTTCACCTTTGTGGTTACTTGTATAGTGGAATTTTACTACATATGCTTGCATTCGTATTTCTTGTAGCATATAGCAGATCATGACTCAGGCTGGCATTACACAATGGTTTCTTTGGGTTGCATTCCTTATTGTTTTCAAATTTGAGTGAAGTCTGTGTCACTACAGATCAGGGACTGTACAGCGCAGTGGACGCTTACGGTTAGCCCCCGGATCCATTCACTTTTTTTAATTGTTTGTCTATGTTTTTTCTGAGTATGATGTCTTGTCCGTGTATTTGTTTCTGTGTAAATTTTGTGTGGTGCAGTCCTCCTGCACTTACTAATAGAGGGGTAACAAATTCTTGGATTATCATCCACCGCTCTTTACTCTCACTGTTCTCACATCTCTAACCAATAATTGATCAAGACATATCAAGTTGATATTATTGCTACGGGTTGCTAGTTATTGCTACTCCTTACATTTTATACGCCCACAATTTCACGTTGTAGTCGCCTCTCCGTCTATCCGGACGGACGTCCAGACCGACGGGCAGACAGGGGCAACAACAATATACATCCATAACTGTTTGTGGGCAGTCTACAGGTCACAATTTTTATTCGATTTTGACGAAACTTGAAACATACGTTTATGTCCCAACGATCTCGGTTCCTGTCGATGTTGGCATCTATCGGACGGTAAATTCATGGATTATGACCCCTGAGTGTACAAAAATTCACAATTTGTATCCGATTTTCAGGTTGTGGAGACTCTACAGGTCTCAAATTTTATTCGATTTTGATGAAAAGTAAAATATATGGCCCCTGATTGTACAAAAATCACAATTTTTATCTGATTTGCAAAAACGTTCATAAATATCACTGTTACGTTAACATTTTCGTGAAAATCTGCCTAAAATTGCCTGACAAATTGGTCGCTCCTTGTACTCAGATAATGTAAAAATATGTATTACCAAGGTTGTGACCCCACTTCTAGGGTCTAGATTTCAAAATTGTAATCCGATTTTGATGAAACTTGAAATGTATATTTATAACCCAAAGATCTCCGTTTCTGTCGATGTTCGCTCAGATCGGACGATATCATCTTGGAATATGGTCCTTGATTGTAAGACAATTCGCGTTTTTTGCTTATGGTCTATTACCGTTCTACGATAAGGACGATTGAGTGCGCATTTCGTGAAGATCGGTCCGAAACAACCACACAAAATGACCAATACCCGTACGCAAATAGTGTAAAAGTATGTAATACTAATGTAGTAGACCTTCTAGACGTCGCATTTTTTATCCGAATTTGATGCATGTTTGTATCCCAAAGATCTCGGTTCCATTCAATATTCACGCATATCGGACTTGGCGTACAAATCCTATAAACTGTAACGATCCAAAGTTAGCCCCCTTTTAGAAAAACTTTGTGAACACACGATAAAGGCTACACTTTTTAACAGATTTATTTCGGAAACTTTGTCAATGGATAATATCTATTGATATTACCTGTTCTCTTTTGCAAAATATAGGTGTATCTTAGATGACAACCACTAGTTAATTGTATTATAATATTTGGAAAACAGTAATAAATAATCAATATTAAATGGTTATTTTGTTTCATGTTTGGCCGATACTGTGTTACACTATTAGTTCTTCAGGTTCTAGATGACAACACCGGTTTAACTTCATATAATACTTTTATTCTTGTAGCCAGATAAAGTACAAAAGCTCCTTATAATTAAACGACTCAATACAGTTAACGATTCCTTAGTTAATGACTTCTTAGTTAGCTTGTCTTAAGGCAGCCCTGGTGCTAACGTGGACGCTCTGGCCTGGACTGAAAACCCATTCCCAACTAACCCATGGTGTCAGAGCTTCTCGTCCCTACTTAACGTTTAGCTAACTAACTTCCTGATCCCTTCTTTATGCCCTTGGGCCCTTTTCAGATGTCAAGAGGATTACACAGCTGTCTTGTTACGTAATACTAGATTAGGTTTCTGTACAAGTCACCGGACATTACATAACACCATCTTGTAATGGCCGACCAGATGTTTAAAGAATCAACTATCTGTCATAAGTGACGGCTGATATGATAGGATGTTTAATTAATATCGCATTGTGAACAAGGTGGTATGATATCGTTCAGACATTATTCTCATATCGTGTAACATTCCTTTCAACCCTAAAGATCATTAACGAATTAAATATAAATATAGTCGACAATAACTACACTAATTAAAATATAAAGAAAAAGAGAAATTAAACACTGATAAAAAAAACAATCATATAAACAAAAGTCTATAAAAGGTCATATTTTTTTTAGCTATAATTCATGGACAAGAAAAGGTTTTATTATAAATTCCGGTTTATATTGGTGCAGGAATACAATTTTTTTATTTTTTCAAAAACTTGTGGCTGTACAATCTTGACACGCCTGTGGGGTAATTTTGAACGATACCTAAATTTCCATTCAGAATAATTTAAATTCATCAAAATACTTAGAGAATTAACATTTCAACAAAATAAGAATACATTTTGTTTTAAAAATATTATTCTTTTCAATTTTTAAGAAAAAATATTTAGGTGTTCAGCCTTTCCTCAAAAGTGGGGTTACATTGAACGAATCATAAAATTGCATTCGATAAATTAATGAAAATTTTACAAATCTATCAAAATGCAACAGCAAATTCATTTGTTATAAATCTATCAAAATGCAACATCAAATTCATTTGTTATAGATAATCAAATACAATAAACATAACAAATATTGTGAATAAATGGGGAGACGTTGTACATGTTCAAGTTGCCACATTTTACTTTAAAAAGGGTGTATTATTAATATGGTTGTACTTAAATTTCTATTTCTATTCAAAACCATAAAATTTAACAAATATGTTTTATCTACTTATATAAATGAAGTGTCTATCCTGAATGAAGTATACTTACAGATATCTAGTATGAAGTTGACAGGCTATGTATTTGTATGTATGTATTTCATCAAATGCGGATCATTTTTTTTTATATCATCTAAGATTATTTATATGACATGAACAATAAATAATAAAAAAATATATAAAATGCTCAAAATGAAAGGGGGTTTAACGTTCTACTGATCTATTCCGACTGGGTTAATGAAGACGGGAATACGCCATACAGTGTGCTATGAGGGAAATTTTGCCCGGACAGCGGCCCTACGGTCTAGGCCTACTCTTATATCGAATTCCAACTGCCAAGGGATATTGTACGTGCATGTCAATGTATACACGGACCTGGGTTTTCCTCCTCTCCGCAAAACTAGGCAGCTGAACATTCTCGGCGAACACACGACCTCCAGACTAGCCAACCAGCGGCTTACCCACTTAGCCACCGTAGTTCCCCTGTTCTCTAAATACAAATAAAATCTCTCCCTCCCATAAATTCGGGCCAACCTGGGGTACTACGTCAAAACACAATATAAAATACCTCCATTAATATCGTGCAATCCCTAACAATCGCGGTAATACACATGAGATGAGATAACCCCGTTAATACTTTGAGAATGTTTATGTGTTAATTTCCAAATTACGACACTGTTAACCCAATTCCAGTTAAACAATCACAAAACATTTTACTTCGCCTTATAAACCTCTTAATACTTTGTTACTACTTATTTTAAAAGCCAAAATATGTGTTCAAAAACAAACAACTATAATTTATGATCTTTTAAAAACAACATGACTCGCCCGAAACAACAAGGCCCACATATGTAGTTAGTCCTTTTCTACTACAAGCTTGATAGGCAACATATTTAATTTTTGAGTTAAGAACATCAGTTTAAATGTCATATTTCTTAATCATTTTGATTTAATTAGTAAATAGTAAAGGGCTCAAAGAAAATGTTTGAAACAATTGAAATTGCCATAGACAGCAGATTTTCCGAATGGCAAACTGAGTTGTTCACAATTGATTTCATGAAATACAGCAGTTTCCATAATCTTGATTATTGTGAAATGAGTCTTAAATCCATAGCTCCAAAACGCTGATGAAAAGAAAACAGCTGATTAGAAGAAAGAAGGAGAAGGCTAAATAAAACAATGATTCTCATAAGGAGGAGGCTCATCAGGAGGAGGCTCATCAGGGGGCTCATCAGGAGACTCACCAAGATACTTTTTGGATTTCTGAGGTCTGCTTTCCCTGCTAGCCCTGAAAAAGTAAAGAAAAGGGTTATTGTCATTGTTAAATTTCACCTGAAAATAAGTTTTATTGAATATGAGTACCCATTTAAATCTTACTCGACATTATTTTAATTTAATGATGCTTTTTGCATGTCTACTAGTTAATATAATAAGGTTAGTATTAGGGTGGGTTTACATGTATACTAGTTATTATAATAGGGTTAGGATTAGGGTTGATAAAACATACCTCCAGACAAATATCACAATTTATAATCTCATAAATATTTAGGCTATACTATACGCTCAGTCAACCTTATCTATCAGATTTGAAAACTAAATACGTGTATCAGGCAAACAGACTTATGTTCAGCACACGCTCTGTAAACCATAGAAAGTTACTGAAACAGTCATTAAACACGTACTAACAAGAGATTCATCGCAAAGGCAACATACCTGTTGATGTGAATGGGTTTTAGTCGTGCTTAGCCCCGAACTCCCAGCAATTCTATAGTCATAGCTACTTCTTCAACAAGAGTTGTCAACGTTGAGCTAACCGAAATAAGGTTTAAAGTCTTACTTTTCTGCACCGATTGGCCAATGAAGACGGGCGTACGCTATTCCAGGGTAATATGAGAGAAATGTTGCCCGGACAGCGGCGCTACCGTCTACTCTTTTTCAGAATTCCAATTTTACGTACACGTCCATGTGTACACGGAACCAATACGTCCTTGCTAGGCTTTCGGTCCTGCACCGCCAACAAAAAACGATGAGCTTTCTCGATCAACCGCTGGATTGACACGGTACCTTCGGGTTAGCGATACAACGTATTACGCACTGACCCACTGTGGCTCACCGAGTGAGAGACGCCCTTTGCTAATATGTACCAAATTTCGATCTGTGTCCTAAGTTACTGAAATATGATTCTACATACACCGGCTTAATAGCTAATTAATAATGTAATGAAAGTTTACGTACAAGTAGCAAAGGACAACTTGAAGTATGAGCTCAACTAAACCCATTACAACATCAGTACCAACAACTACTTCATAACCCATCGAGTCTAAACCTGTACAAATTCAATAAATATAAGTAAAGTTTGTATTGTCGCCGAAGTATATCTTCAGGAGAGAAGTGTAAGGTAAGATTATGTTTGTATTTTAAAACACTGATTAATCTATTAACTTTGTACCAAGAGGTGATTGACATACTTTGTGGTTTTCTGATCTATACTTTTAAATTTAGAAGTCTGATACGATTATGTATCTTTTTAAATACTATATATGGCGTTGTGGTAATACTTATACTTACACAGAAAATAAGTTACTAATCCTGTAGCAAGCACAACTAGTAGGGGTATTAGTATCATTGGTATCAGAAAGCGACATTTTCTTTCTAGAATAAAAACAAATAATCAGTATGTTAAATACATGTAGCTTGTAATAATGGAAACAACTGCGAGTTTAATACCATTATATAGTTATTGAAAAACATTTTAATAATTACACACTCTAAACACTACTGCGAACATAATACTATAATTATTAAACAAAACTTTATAATAATCATATTTATACTTACTGCTATCTTCCTTCTTACGTACTTTTACAATAGCAACTATAATGACTACCACGGAAACAAGTACAGAAACACCAACTGCTATTCCAGTAATTTCCGGACAAGTCAGACCTCGTGAATTATCATCCGTTTCCACGACTTTGATTTGAAATAAAAGAAGTTAGATTATTTTATTATTTGATATGTTGACTGGTTTTGATTATGACGACCTGGCTTTGTTGAAGATTATAGACATAATAACTGATTTTGTATTGCACTGCCGTCATTATACCAAAATAAAATTAAAATAGTTCGTCAACTTAAACTTTGGAAACATTGTTTCTTTGTCAAAATTCTTCCATTGCTAGATGAAACAACACACCTGATAAACTCATATATTTTGATATATCGTCTGGTGAATCTATTTCTTTTCCAATACTGGCAAATGTAAAGAAGCACTGAAATGTGATTCGTGAGAAACTCGTCTATTGTTTTTTGTATACAGATGAGTCCAAAAACTGTGTCCGCATTATATTACTCTGCATAATTGTCATGTCGAAGAATTAGATCTTGGATCGTTTGTTGAAAGAAATCAAAGTGTAGGAATAGTGTTCATCTTTTTCACAATAAAATAAAACCAAGTACGAACAATCCAAACCATTAGACAAAATTCGAAGTCCTAAAAAAACGGTATAGGCAAAATAGTGTAATAAGGCAAAATAGTGTAATCAGCATATGGACTGTTCACCGTGTACAAAATACGCGACAAACAGTGGTTTATGTCCGTTTTGGCGTTATTTATGATATTTCATTAAAGTAATTAGAGGTTTTATTATACCTTGGTATTTATATTGTCCTTATATACACTGACAAAAACTCTTGTGTTGGATCTCAACACAACAAATATTCAACACAAGCTTGTGTTGTTTTACATTGCATTAACACAAGTTTTTATTCTTTTCAATGTCCTAATACAAACTTTATAAAATTTTGTGTGGTTTTTTTTCATATAATTAATTACGTTGAATTTTAAGATAACATTTATTATGTTACTTTATTATCTGTAATAATATGATTTTTATTTATTGAGAAATTCTGAATGGGATTGGGGAACTGGCTTAGCCTATTTGTAAAACCACTCTTCCTGAATTTGAATATTGAGGAATTCACTTTATTTCTTCTTTTTTTTTTAAATATTTCTAATTATCTAAAACCTTATATTAATTATTACAAACATAATGTGTAGTGCGATACGTTTAATATCTCTTTTAAAACAATCTATTTTAGAACAGTATACTGATATAAAGAGATCGGAGTTTTAGTCAATTATTATCTAATTATAAACTATTTATTTAATTAGACATAATAAAACATTATTCTGATTCTACTCTTTGTTTATTTCCACATCTTGTCTCAGACAATAGACATAGACAGTTTATTACAATGTCTGCATTTGGAAGTGTCTGATTGATATCGCCCCAATAAACTTGACACATCAAAGAAAATTGTCGTAGGGTGTGAAAGCTAAAACAATAGTGTTATATCTTGGTTTTAAAAAATATCTGAATAGGCGTGGAAATAGTCGAGTTCATTATTTTTAAAATTCTCCATTGTATTTCATTCTTATGCTTTATTTATGTAATCTATCTATAAATATTTGTCCTGTACCTTATCTATTAGTTCCCTTTTATGTACTGTAGAAATTTTTGAATTCCTAATCTTTTAAAGGGAATATTTATTTTTAGAAGTAGTTCAGTTTAGTGCATAATTTATGTCTTTGGTACTTGATTTGGTTGTTAATAAATTTAGATATATTTAAAATGTATGTTTTGGGGGCAAGGGGTAGTGATAGTGTGTACATATCTATTATATTCTCCGTTCTTTTTAAGGTTAATTTAAAAAAAATTAAATCGGATTTTTTTTTTATTTTGTGATTATTAGTATTGGAATTAACTTTGTTTATTAATATTCCAAATGTCTTAGTGCTTGTTTTTTTTTAACGATGTCGTTTTAATTTAGTGTAAAGCATTATGATCGTCGTATCGTTGATCAGGTCCGTGAGCTTGATGGGAAGCATTGGGGTGAAACGAGGAAGAACCCCATGGAAATCAGTAAGTAGTTATCTCCCCTCATTTATCGGATTTTATTTCAAATTTGATGCAATGCACTGGGGTTTTTCTATAAATTCATTGGAATCGGAAAGGGTTGGGTCCTGTTGAGTTCCGGTAATCAAAGAATGGTTGTTCGAGAGGATCCGTACCAAATTTGGTCAAAATCTATGTTTTCTTTTCAGATAAGCTGCTATCGCGACAACACTGCTGAGTGAGCGTATTGCCTAGCTCTACGTGGCTATTATTCTTTTATTTGCTGGATATTTACGTGACTAGTATTTTGGACTTTGACTTATGTTTTGTTAAGCGTTTTGTTGGTAATCTGTAATTTAATTTATCATACCTGCCCGGTCACTGATATTCTTTCTACAATACGCTGTGTTATCTTGGGGGTATCCAGTTGTCCAAATCCATTCATGTCTAACCACTACAGCGTTTGGCCAAGCAACGTCATCAAATCTACAAACAGATAAAAGATAATCTGCCATAGACTGTACCTTATCTAAAATGAAAACTTTGTTCACCAAAGTACCTTCAAAAATTCTAATTTTTGTCATGTTCAGAAGCTTTGGGAAATCTTTTCATGAATGTAGCCTCTATCTCGTTCAAAAGCTTTTGGCAGAGGTTACGGAACGCTGAATATTGATCGAGTTCGTCATCTCGTGACTCCATAGATTCTATCGCGTTCACAGGGTTTTAGGAAAGGAGGCATAATTCAGGAACTGAACGTGACAAAAAAAATTAATATCTAATTAAAAATTATAATAAAAATGCAACTAACTTCATATACATTTATACTAGACTAATATGCGTGGTTTGACACATTTTCGTATATTTTTTTCACGGTTACAGAAAATAGAGCTGCAGAGGCCTTTTAAATAAATAACCATAACATCTCACCCAGGTTCATTCCATCCTTGCTTATGTTTATTGTAACATTTCCATTCTGCACTGGTTTCAATACCATTACTCAATGTCATCTTTATTCCAACAGGTTCATCTGTATTACGACACTTTATAGCAATAAGTTGCGTATCATCAGGAATACTGACAGTTGCTGGTTGATCCCAGTAGCTGTTATTACCATTCTTGTACAGAACACCATCAACATAAAACTCCATGATATTCTTACAGGCAATTTCCCCAGTTATAGCGTCTAGAGCTGAAATTTAATATTTGACAAATGTTGAATTAATAGAACCCTGTATCTCAGAAGGAGAATAATAATAGTAATTATAATAATGTATTTATAGAGCGCCTATAATCCAACATTTGGGTGCTCTATGGCGCTATTACATTATGGTAAAAGTACAAAATAAAAATATATATAAAAAAATCATGAATCAAAAACCAACAACTTTAAGGTATAAAAACACCTCACGGATAATATTAAAAAGACACCAAAGAAACAACTATCACCATTGCACAATTAGAATAAAATATGGTATGCAATAATATAAAGCAAACTCTGAAAACGTTTAAACATTTAACAATAAAATGGCTTTTAGAAAGGCGAGTTTTTAACTTTTTCATAAAAACAGACAAGTAAGGGGAATCTTTAACCTCAGAAGGTAACTTATTCCATGGTTCATAAGCAACAGAACCAATAGATCTTTCACAAAACGAAAATTGTGCATGATAGGGCATTAGTTTTTGTTAAAGGGCCAATCCCGATAATATTTTGGAGAATAAAACTGCTTAATACAACTCCTTAATATCCCGTACCTAAGGGCCGAGCAACTAATTCAATATTTGTGATATGCTTTCAAACAACTTACATCCGTCAGTCTTCATCTGGAAATGGAGACCGGTGTCCCAATATGCGGTGCCTGGATAAAACTAGACTTTTATTTTATAAAAACAATGTGTAGGTGGAATTTACCTTTCGTTATCCAGTACGGCACATGGGTCATTCACTGTATAGACCTCTAAAGGAACGGCGATAGATTATCAGGTCACCCAACGAAAAAAAAATTGACCAGAAATCTTAAAAGGGTTACGTGTCCGGATAAGCATTTTTGAAGTTCACGCCCAAACGACTAAATATTTTGAGCTGAAATTTTGAGGCAGGGTAAATACACCATTCCTCTCTATTTTGGCGCTTAAATTTCATACGAACTCGGACTTTTGTTTTTAAGATTCTGTTCAAATGGGATAGTCCCTTTAAGTGACCTTATTGTGCGTGCAGAAATATATAGAGTGATAGGCTGTTTGAGGTTGCCAAATGAGTCTTTAATATTAATGATAGAGTATGTTAGAGAGAGAGTATTTTAAATTCAATTCTGCTAGTAATTGGTAAGCAATGTTGTTGTCGTAAAATAGGGGTGATATGTTCACAACGTTTAGTTCCAGTTATGATTCGTGCCGGTTTTGGGTTGGGTTTTTTGGGGTCTATGTAGTCTATTTAGCTGAAGAGAAGGCAAATTAAACAATAAAGAATTACAATAATGAAGTCATGAGGTTATTTTACACATGAGTTGACAAGCATTTTAGAAGTATCGATATTAATAAAGGATCTTAGGCTACCTATATTATATATTCGAAAATTGACGGATTTACATATATTCGATACATGTTCTTTCATGGCAAGATATTTACCAAAAGCACCACCCACTTTAAACACAATTTGTAGTAATTTCCGGTAGTCTATGATCGTTTCCTATTCTTGATAGTTCAGTTTTAACATCCTTTAGTTTTAAAACGCTACTTTTCATCCAGTTTTCTTCATTATCAATATACTTACGAATTTGTTTACTTCCGTTATCGGATGTTACAACCACATATAGTTGAATGTCGTCGCTTTTTTATAAGCAATATTTTTATTCAGATTTGTATCTGAATATGGATTGAGAGAGAGAGAAATGGGGTTTAACGTCCACTCGACACAAACTAGGGACTAAAACATGGTTCAATTTTATTTAAATAATTCGCTTGCGTGTAGGGGTCTTTAGCAGTGGGAGGAAACCGGAGGACCTGGAGAAAACCGACGAGGTTGGAGAGGCGACCCTACTCCTTGTCTCGTACAACCAGGGAATCGAAACCCCGCCAGTTGACTCAATGACAGACCATATGATACAGCGCGCGCGGGCTAACCATTCGGCCATCCAACCCCCCGAATAGGGATTGAGGAACAGACATAGCCTATATTAAACCCCTCTCACTGTGAGATATAGATACATGTATTTACATTTTAGAAATAGTCCAAATTGTGATCTCTGATATGTTTACTAAGTAGGCAAGCATAACCGTAAATATAAAAAACGGACCGAATACTGATCCTTTCGGAACTCTATATTTTACTGGTTTTGACGACTTTTTTTTATGACAACGGGCTCTTTTCGTGAGGCGAGATACGATTCAAAAAATTTCAGGGCATAGCCAGAAATTCCGAAATAATCTTTAAAACGGTTAAATAGAAGTGTCTGTTCAATGCTGTCGAAAGCAGTACTAGAAGAACAAGAAATACCACATTTTTACTATCCAGATTAATTAAGATATCGTTTGTGTACTATTGAGTTTTTGGCACGGTGATTGAAAGGGTTCGTCTAAATGCTGAAATTTTAAGTGATCTTTAAATCTTACAGACTCGTCTTAGATAAAAGTGATAGATTAGATACTGGCCGATGATTTTTGAACATATTAATGTCTAAAGTACTTTAGTGATTAAGGGAAAACTAGAGCTTCTTTCAGAACATCGGGGAAGGTACCAGTTGACAAGATTTATTTACAATATGGGTAATTCGCCCGTATATCCGTTATCACTCGTCACATCAGTCAGTTATATAGAGAGATGACTCGTGTTTTCCTTTGGCGTTCGTCACTTCCGATTCTGTAAAACTGTATTACTCAGCTATCGTACCAATGATCTCTGTGATAAATTTATATTTGGAATGTGTTTAAGTCGCTCTATCACATATGTGATAATGACTGGCACCAATATTGTTATTTAACACAGAGATCATTGCTACGGTAGATTATAAATTGGAAAAATTCCGTGCACTTTCCATGTTTTTATTAAGTACAGAATGAATAAATGAAATGGGGTTTAACGTCCTACTGTTCTGCTCCTATACTGGGCTAATGAAGACGGGCTTACGCCATACAGTGTGCTATGAGGGAAATTTTGCCCGGGCAGCGGCACTATCGCCTACTCTTATATCGAATTCCAACTGCCAAGGGATCTTTTACGTGCATTCTAATGTATACACGGGACCTCGGTTTTTCGTCTCATCCGAAGGACTAGACAACTGTCCTTATCAGGCCCTTATTAAAATTGGTCAAACAGGGCCCTGTTTCACAAAAACTTAAATCTCCTTAAAATCCTAACTTAAGATAGATGCGTTTCACAAAACGATTTTAAGCATTTTAGATAAAATCCACTAAAATAATATTTTAGGTTAAAATTGTATCTTAACTTAAAATAGTGGCGTCTCACAATTTTAAACTCTTTAAGTAACTTGTATTCCATATAATTGTGTCATGCACCACTGACAAGGGGAAACCACGTCGGAAAATCAGGATGAACTTTCTCGGCCAATGCAGGGATCGAACACCCGACCTCCAGGCTAGTGAGCCAGCGTCTTAACCACCGTGGCTCCCCAGAATGAATAAAAACAAGGGAATGCACGGGCTTTTTCTATTTTTCTCGTTTTCTCTTGTCTAATGACAGCCAATCCTCTTTTTTGGATTGTCAGATTTCCTCTCACAGTCTCGTATAATAAGTTTTCATCTTCAACGAAATTATGAAATGAAATTCGACCTTGTGTCTGTTATCGCTCGATACTTCAGTCAGGATAACTCGTGTTTGTCATTTTTTGCGTCACTTTCCGTTTCTTCGAATGTTCGTTATGCATCTACAGCAGCAATGATCTCTATGTTAAAATTATATTTGGAATGTATTTTCTGAGAGGAACCTAATACGCATATGGAATAATTGAAATACGAAACGCTTTCAACTGTTGCTGTCTTAAAGGATATCACACCATATAAATTGACAACAGAAAATATTTCTTAATATTCATTAATGTGACAGTAATGCAACAATATTCACTGTCGTGCTAGTACATTTAGTTATACGTGCAAAGCTGTAAATTGAAATGGCGGCGACTTCATCATTAGCCCAGTTCGGAGCAGAATAGTAGGACGTTAAACCCCATTTCATTTCATTTCATAGTCAAAGTGTCACAACATTTAATCAGAAAATCCCGTTGTATGTATGCATTAAATAGATATGTCATTCATCAGTGCATACCTGTCAAATAAATCAATTAATACCAGGTAAAATCGATATTTCATTGGCAACCCGTATTACACAATAACCAGGTAAAACAAGGGAGCAGAACCGGTTTATTTATTGATTCATATTCAAGTAGCAAAGAGCTCTATGTTCAAACTATATTTGGAAAGTGTTTAATCAGTTCTATCACATAAGTAATAATGGCTGACATCGATATTGTCATTTAAGATTAAATGAATCCAAAATATCATATAACGTACTTGACATGCTACACTCGGCATCATCGAGATGTAGATTTAAATCCCCAATAAGTAGTAACGGAGAAGACGAGTAAAAAAATTCATACAGTTGATCAGTAAATTCACTGAGAAAAACATCAAGACTTCATTAGAACATTCTTGATGTTTCTAATACTGATTTATGAATAACAACTGGCCTACCTCCTTTACGCCTATTCGATTTTCAGTAACCGCAGAGTTGTTTGAAGGTAAACGTTTGTGTAGAGTAGTCGTATCATTTGGGTTAAGCCATGTTTTAACAGCTAAAAAATTGTCAAAATCATTATCAAGCAATTATTCCTGAAGTTCATCAGTTTTATCCTTGATTGATTGGTAATTTAAGCCACAGAGATTGAATGATTGCAGTACACTACCAGACTTTTCACTACTTATAATATCAACAGATCGGGGTTATTATGGTTAAAACCCTTGTCTTTTTTGTTGGTTTGAGTTCATTAGTCACCTTTATTTGAGGTTTATAACTTTAAATATTTTCTTTGGTATTCACTATAAGATCTAAAAACTGTTCCATGTTATTTTTCATCCCGTGATCTAAAAACTGGAGTTTTTTATATTCAATAAATAGTTGTGTAGGTTTTTTTTTTATTATACATGATATATGGGTTCCATGAAAATTATGGTTTCCAATAATTCGAACTCGGGTAGCCTGTTAACAATGAATATTTATTTGGAACCTTCAAATTGTAGCATATAGTCAGTGGAATTTGGAAGCGAAACCACAAGCCTACCAAATCCTTGCTAAACATTCTTTGTTTGACTGGTGTGTAAACTGTTGCTGCTTTCTAATCTTCGACTTCACATTATTGCAATTACAATCTGATTAAAACACAGGACCTATTTTTTTTCGTTTTTTATAATTTAAAATTTTGTTTTACTTGTCTTTACTACACTGGAACAGTTTTCATCATTGACGTGTTCTGGATAATGTGAGGAATTGGCCAATGAAACTGTCTGTTACGGCGAGCTTTGGCCGTGTTTTGCACGGAGCTGTGGGTAATCCACTAGAAGAGACATCAATGCTGATTATTGAAATGTCTGACGTCATAGGGTCAAAAGTCGCTCGTATGACCTATCGCTACAACCGGTCAAATCTTAATGTAGTGTAGGCCATCGAAAGTATAAAAAAACGAAACGAAATATAGATCTGTATTTTAATCAGATTGTGGCGATGATGACTGAAATATTTGACGTTGGCACAGACTTTACATCCCAACATGACCGAGAAACACTGTTCGTTTTTAAATATGGGTTTATATAAAGCAGGATGCATAGTTTCGGTCACCTAGTCTTCAACGTACGGAGAGTCTGGGGCCGTTCTCAATATTTGACGTAAAGTCCATTGCCCATGCGTAACCAGGAGTTTGGTTTTTAATGTGGTTGATTATCCAATATCTTTGGCCAAGCCAAGTAAGAGTTGTGCCCCTTCCCGCAATAAATCCCATAATTCTTGCATCAATATAAACAAACATGACTCGTGACGACGAATTAGGATTAATTATAAAAACAACCATAGATATGGCCAATGAAGAGGGAAATTTTACAATAAAAAAAATAAGTGCAGTCACTGCAGTCGGTCCCAAAATTATGCATCGACGACTTAATGAATTAATGAGGCAAACACACAATGCCAGAATAGATCCCAAATACTAATAGTAAGTGCAGGGGGACTGCACCACACAAACTTTACACAAAAACAAATACAAGGACAGGACATCATAGCCTACTCAGGAAAACACAAACATATAGACAATTCAAAAAAAAGTGAATGGATCCGGGGGCTAGCCGTAAGCGTCACTGCGCGTGAATCCGTGAGAATTGCACACGTCACACAAAACAATAGTATAAAATAACCATGTCTGCTTGTCATGTTTGAAAAAAAAATTGTCATTCTTATTCTGTTGTGAGTATGTTCTATGAAATGTTTTTCCCTCATGACAAAAAAATAATAGTTCTCAAAAAAAGTACCGCAGTCGGTCTCAGTCTAAATGGATTAATGAGGTAAACAAACAATCATAAAACAGGCGAAATAGACAGATAGGCCACAAGATTCTGTCCCATTTCTTATCCTCTCGGTAACGAGAATTTTTAGACCCAGTTCCGAAAAATTAAAAGCTCGGTTACATATCTGAAATTTTTTTCGCGATTGCGGCGCTCGAACGGCTCGATTCCGTTATAACATCATTCTTCTATTCCTTTGTTGTCTGATACCGTCTCAGCACTATCATATTCACGGGTTATAGTGAGCTGCCCAGTTATACTGGTGTGTGGGTCGTGGGGCGTCAGACTATACAAATGTTATGTCAACTCTTGCAAAACAGGCGGAATTCACAGGGGCAGATCTCGAGATTCTGTCCCATTGACTCACATTTCTGGTCCTCTCGTCCACAAGACTTTCTCCCAGCAATGACCTCAAATGCTAGGATATTGACTCAAGTTTTCAAAATTTTATCAGGTTGCTCAGTGTTATAGGCACAATCATCATATATGACTTAAACTTTATGTCAACTTAAATAAAACTGCTTTCCGGCGAGACAACGATCGGCGAACAACTATATAATTATACAATACTATCTATGTTCTACTGGGACGCTTAATGTTATAGCCAGTAATTTGTTGACATTTATTGTGGGTGGGATTGTGGATGGCTCCCTCGATTTGGAGCCGCCTCCACCCCACCACCTATTCCTAGCTTCTAGATCTGCTACTGCACATGGCCCCTAGAAAACTCGTACCTGTGGTGCGCGGCTCCTGGCTGCGTCACTAGCATTGGGGGTATGTGCATCAGTCGGTCGCATTTTGGCTAAATACCCCCCGCCCCCCGCAAACAAAATCGTTATGTACGCCCCTGGATTCATTGCTCGTTATTCACCAGATAGTAATAAAATAAAGGCACTTTTATAGGGAATACGCGGGGAGTCCATTTGGTTTATAACACTTGGGAATAGATTCTAACAAGCTGTCTTTCTACCTGAATAAGCAGCTGTTTCATTTTGGACAACACCAGAAATGGAATTGGTAATATAATAAAGGCGCAGAACTGATATTCAAGCTAGATAAATTCAGGCAAATTGATAAGCAATGTCCAGTTTTGAAATATCATGTGAAGCTTTATTTCAGTCACACTATTTTAAAATTGTTGTGTTGTTATAATCCATATTTCACGGTCTGCTCACTGCCGTGTATACTCGATAGAATTTCAGGGTTGTTTCGTATTTTGAACATTCAGTATTCACATCCATGTCATTTATTCACCTAACAGCCATTCCTTCACTAGATCGATCGAAAATTCACTGCCTCAAATCTCCGTTATAAATTCTGTAAACGCACCATTTGGTATCCACATTAATACAAGTGCCTAAGACAATCAATGAATTATCTTTATTTTATCACAGAACACCTACCCTTTATAAAAAAAATTCTGAGGGACAGCGGTAAATCCGCGTAAAATAGGGGGCTCTAAAACTTCGCGTTTAGAAGAACTAGGTATTAGATACTAACAAGATGATCATGCCTAAACTAGAAAAGAAATGTCGAAAAATCGATATAGAAACTGTCAACAACTGTTTAGTTAAAACGGGGACACACAATTGTCCATGTGAGAATTAAAATAAGCAAAATCTATGAGTAGTATTTTTGCGAATCAAGTTATCTACTTGATTAGCAACGGGGAAGATTTGATTCGAAAAGTGCGATGTGGATCCGGTTGTGAAGAATTGAGGTCATTTGTGGACGAACCCTATGGATTTTAACCATACGAGTTATGCAAATTAATTATATAAGTGTGGAATCATCTATTCAGGATTTTGTATTTTATCGGCTTGACAGTTTTGACGTTAGCAAATATGTTTAACCAAGGTGTGTACCTAGATTCCAAAGGCCATGTGCTAATGGGTAGACAATAGCCTCTCGATGTCACCAACCCCGTAGAGTAAGTATAACGCTATGATGCATACAGTGATCTGGGACCAGTTATGCGAATCAGTTTGGGTATTTGGCTATGCTTATTTAACTGAATCATAAAATACGATTACAGGAGAACCATTGCCTTGTACATGTGTTCAAGTGTGTCTAAGAGTATGCCCTAAAAGGTAACCATTAACTGACCTGGGGGACGTACATTAAAGTCCAGTGGATTTGTAATGAATTCTTTTAAACGGAGTACACAGTGTGACAACAGCGATTTTCATAGAGCTGCAATTTTAGTAGAGTAGCGGTGCTCTTAGAAATTCGTGATTTGTGGTAGTGTTGGGCATTCCATAAGTTAGAAATGCACGTGTTTTGGCGGTTGCGGGCATTCCAGGATGAAGTGTGCAGCCTTCGAATATGGATCGAAGGCGACAAAATTACCTAACTGGAAAAAATCAGTATTTTCACTTAACTTTAAGAAAACTTTTCAATACGGGCCTTGATACCTTTCTTCTCCATAGTAATATTTCTAATATGGATTGCTTCGGAACCCTTATTGTCATCAGTACGAAGAAAGGCGACCATCTGTTTAATAACGAATAACCACTGCCCATGTGGACTTTGCTTTAATGTATAGCGAAAGTGAAGAGTGTATAGACAAAGCTTACCGTATATTAGAGGTCTCAGCCCCGTGAATACAATAACCCAAGTAATCAAATTCATCATTTTCTTTTATCTGAAATACAACATTACAAACGATAACATTATATTAAACAAATCAACTACACAATTGAATTGCAGAAGTAAAGCGTTTATGGACAAAGCTTTCCATATGTTAGAGGCACCAACCCTAGGAGAACAATAACCCAATTCCTCACATTCAACATTTTTATTTTTATCCGAAATACAACATTACATTAATTTAGAAGGGGACAGCTCATTGTGTCTGCTCCTACTATTTCAGGTTACGAACTCCAGCCGTTGGTATTTTCTCCTTTCGGCTGTAATCTACCAGAAAACTAAATATACATTATGCCACCTTTCCACCATCTAGATGTTGTCCGATTTCAATTGGTTTAAACGACTTACTCCGCTATATCGCGTACCTATCTGAAAGGTTATCTTTCGCGTCCATCCGACAGTTTATTAATATCATAATGTTGTTGCATGTGGAGGTTAATTTTAAAAACAAATCCCTTAGATACCTAACACCTAACCTGGGTCAGCGGGTAAAGCGTTGGTTCGATAATCTGGAGGTCCCGTGTTCGATCCCTGGATTTTCCTTGGCAGTAGTACAGTACTGGCGGTCTTACAAGGGACAACGTATATATGTAGTAGTTCGGATGGGACAAAAAACGAGGTCCCGTGTACACATTAGCGTACACGTAAACGATCCCTTTGTAGTTTGAATTCGATATTAGAGTAGGCCAAAGCGCCGCTGTCCGGGCAAAATATCCCCAAGTTCTGACACTGAATGGCGCATGCCCGTCTTCATTAGCTCAGTCGGAGTAGGACCATTTCATTCCATTTTCATTTTTTATCCCCAGTATCCAATGGTGCAGTATTCATATCCTATGATTATTACCTCACTCTTACTTTGATTATCGAAACCGTTGTTCACGATTGTAGCCGTTTAAGCCCATGATGTCTTGTGAGATTACCTTGACGTGTTTGTAAATTCTAAATTAAAAATCTAATACTGTTCGTTGTTTGTCACTACTAGCACGCGAAGCGATCAATAATCTGTCACAAATGGATGTGATAACTAACGGTCACGCTAACCACACGGGTATCTAGGACGAGCCGATCACCAAACTAAGGTTACCTTGAAAAATACAACATGTTATTCAAGTTGATGATTAAAATAATTATATAATAATATTTTATAAAAAAAAGAGTTAAATTATACATAAAATATAATGTTTAAATACAGAAGATCACATGGATATAACACGCGTGTTGACTGTAATAACGTCATATATATATAAGACTCAAACAGTTAAAAGACTTGAAAGGAATGAGAGATCAATTGGGATATTGATCAGTTGCTTTGTGTTATGAACTAGTTCATTTATACTGATGACTAGTCATAAAATGTCGAATAACATGTCCCTTATGTATCGTAGACTAAGCAACAAATAACTTTTATAAATAAAAATATACGACACTAACAGATCAAAGTATACGAATCAATTAACATAATGTATGAATGAATAAATGTATTTTAATGGCACGTCACCTCCAAATTGAATGAACTCACAATAATGTATTATACATAAATACCAGCGACTGTCAGGAAGGATACGCCCATATTTTCGTGAGATGGATAGAGAACAAGCTAAAAAGAAAGTGATTTTTCCTACAATCAAGGGCCATAATTCATGACGTTACAATTCGATATGCGCAAATATTTGTACACTATTCGCGTACAAGTATTACAGTTAACATAATTAAAATTAAATAACACAGTTTATTGATATTAATATTTAAAATGTAAAAAAATACAAAACAAGTGAGTTTAAAAAAATATATATGACCAATGCGACCTCGACACTCAATCCTCCTGTTCGTTCTATAGGAGTTGGACAAGTTTCCTAAGAAAGGCTTAATGTGATGAAGTTTATTTGTCCCTGCAATATTCTACGACCGTTGCCAGCGGCCATACATACAAGTATTAATCAATGATTTAAAATCACGATATGGTAATAAACACTGAGATATGGGAAGACAGCTATAATTTTTCCACTTATTAAGAAGAAAACACTAGACTCCGAAATAGAGAACAATTATAGACCCGTGTCAAACTTAAGGTTTGTACCCTAAGTCCTGGAACGTGTTATTTCTAAACAAATATCATCCCATATCAGGGATCACGATTTCAGAATGCATACAGGAAGAACCATGGCACTGAAACGGAATTACAAAGAGTTCATAATGATATTCACACATCTATGGATAATCATAGCTGTGTTTTACTGATTCTGTTACACCTAACAATGAGAAAACAAAGTACATGGCAATCGGTTCAAAACACAACCTCTCAAAAGTAGATGGTGATCTTTCTATTCGTGTTGGTGGGTTATCCATCACTAATTCTACTGCAGCAATCTTCCATTCTAACATGGAGTCCCAAATTAACAATGTGTGTAAAGTAGGCTACTTTCATTTGAGAAAAATTGTCAAAATTAGGAAGTTTATAACAATAGATGTAACAAAAACATTTATACAAGCCCTAGTTATCTCTAGACTAGATAATTTTAATTCACTGCTGTCAGATGTTCCAAAAAAACCGTTGGACAGACTACAAAAATTACAAAATTCTGCTGTTCGTCTCATCGCAGGCTGTTCTAGATAGGATCATATAACTCCAATACTGTTTAATCTCCATTGGCCCCCAATAACTTATAGAATACAAAATGCTACTTTTGCCTTTGCCTATTTACATGTATTTTTATCATTATGTATTGTATCTTCTTTAAGTTTGTAAAGAGCATCTGGGCACTGGGGTGAAATATGCGCTATACATAGATATACCATAATAATAATAATAATTATACCATAATAATAATTATCGACATCTGTATCGCGTTCACAATTCTGAGCTTGAGGTCGTATCACCACTTTAAGTCGTGTTGTTTCCGTGAAATTATCAAATTCTGTTTGAGATTTGATGACTTTGAGTCATTCCTCAATTCCAGGAATATGTTTCCATCGCGGGTCCATGAAGAATTAAATTTCTTTTCTTTAGCCATTTGTCTTGCATCGTATGTCAGTTTTGCTCTTTTGTGGGTGGGATCTTCCTTTACTGATATTTTGTGTTTGCTGTTAACGGTTATAGTTGACGGTTTTATGTTTTTTAACATTACTAATGAATGTGATGTTAGTTGCATAGCCTTTCAAGCGGGTTTTTATCGGGTGTGGTTTATCTGTTTTGTAGTAGCGGGCTGGTGCGCCAACTCGGTGGCTCCTAATAATATCTGAACGATAGTACGAATCATCAGTTGTTTGTTCAACGAGTTCATTAACTCCCAAGATCATATCCACTCCCATCTCCCATTTTGCTCAAAGTCGTCTAATTTATCCTTTAGTTTGTTTTTGTTCCAGCATTTTTGGCCCTGGCAATTGATTCTAGTTGTTTTGTTCTATTCTCGAGCTAGGAGTTTCTCTCACACAATCTGTTAGCAACTAATGATGCCACGACGTTTGCGGTTTTCGATATGATAGCGGGATTATTGGGGACATTCATTATGACATGTTCATTAATTGATACCGAATCCATCAAGATTTCGTCGTCTGTATTTGAGTCACTCCTCCTCTTCATACGCTTGGGTTCAGATTCAGGCGGGTTTGAAGACGGGGAGCTGGTGAACAATCCTCGCGTGAACAATTTCTCTATTCAAAGTGCAGAACCACAACAACAAAGATAAAGATTGTTTGTACTTACAAATGTAACAAATAAAACCTTTGATTTTTTTTCATGTATATCATGTAGAACCACGTCTTGTCATACTCCAGAATTTCCATATAAGGGAAAGACAAACAATAATACAGTCAAATAAACACAGAAACACACTGTAATAATATGTAGGTTTTTTACATTTTCATGCCATATTGTATTTGTCTTGAGACACCTTATCTATATACATACCTAAGGTTAACTCAGGCGCTCAAAACAATTTTAAAAACACCTCCAATCCATGTGTCCAATTTATGATACAAAGACACGGGGGTTTTTAAATACAAAATTAGAAAATAAACTATATGTAAAGTAACACCGGCTGTTCTAGAAAGATTAATATATTGCTACTATAGACTGTCGGGAGTAGAAACTACTACGCACCGAGTAATAGACGCCTTGTGATTCAACCAAACCTACTAACAAGTTATATACATAGATGAAATAGCAATAAACGTAAAACATACCTCACAAAATACCTTTAAAAGGACGACGCGCTTGATGTACTATGTTTTCTGTTCAGCTCCTTCTCGGAAATAAGCTATATAATACGTAGAATTGGTAATTCCCAGAGAATATAAAATAAGACATGCTGTACTTTCCAGTATCCAAAAATAACAACTCAACAGTGAGGCTGATCGTCCCCGTCGAAATCCCAAAATAAATATATGACGCATATTGATTAATTGCGCAATTATCATTTTCAAGAGTATGGAGCAATCCAACTGACTGTCTTAGTCTAAGCAAATGATCTTTGCGGGATATACAGCTAGTGTGGAGTCCTAAAGAAAGGGGTATTCGCAATACTGTCAAGACTGATATCAGCCTCCGCCAAAAGGGGTTGTTTGCGAATAAAAGATGGAATGACGTTAGTTTTGAGCTGATATAAATGCTCATGATAGGGGCTAAACATGGTAACGATGCTATTTCCGTGGCCTACTACAGGACCAGTTTATCACGTCGGTTGTGGAATAATTACTGATGGGCCTCGACATATAACCTGTCCACTGGAGATGTGAGAAATGCTCTAAACAGATTCCCTGGTTATGTATGATGTCAAGCTCTTTCGGGTAATACTTGTCGGCTGACCCATACACAATACATCCATAATCGAATTTAGATCTTATTAAAGATCGATATAATCGACGCAAGACCTTACGGTCTGCTCCCCAGTCAGTATTTGATAAGACTCTCAATAAATATGTTTATGGTTTTCAGGCTTTTAATGTGGGGATAAATGATAATTTTGTATCAAATATCCCCCCGAGAAATTTGGTTTCATCTACTATTGGAAGGTGATTGACATCCTGCCATCCAAATATGAAGGGAATTCAAACAAAGCTCCAACCTACACTCGATTATACGCATGTCTGTGGAACCATAGCACATCTGAAAGTCGTCAACATGAAGCGTCATTTGTACCTGGTTTAAGGCCCGTTTGGATTGCATTAATTTTTATCGCGAAGAGAGTAGGTGATAATATGCTTCCCTGAGGAACTCCCTTCCATGGAGAATATTGCGGCATACTAAATGGTCCGGGTGGGGCCCCGTATAACCGTACGTCAAGCAAAGACCTCTTCATGGCATGGTTATGTCGCAATGATCAATTCGCGGATAGGATTCGTAGGATTAAAGGTAAACGTTGTGCATTATCAGTTAACCATCTAAATGTTGATAATAAGACCTTGACAACATTTCCTGATATTGCTACTTCTCTGGTCAGTACATTTTCATTTAATTCATCATCGAATGAAATGTTGATAATAACACCTTAACAACATTTCCATATATTGTTAATTTCATTAAGAACAAAGGGAGCTACGTACAAAAATTAAATTTTTACCCTATATGGTGAAAATTGTGCCATTTGACCAAACACTTTTGAGATCCCATCATTTTATTCCGGCATAGTAATTTGGCTGGAGAATGCTTGTTAATGGTGAACAACTTCTTAAACTATGTAGTGAAACAAATTTTGGCAGCAAATTATGGATACGTTGGACTACAGACCAGTTCAGTAGATATTAATATTATGTGCTAGAAATATTAAATTATACACTATTATTATTTATTATCAATTCACTATTAATTATACAATATTATTATTTATTATCAATTCACTATTAATTATACAATATTATTATTTATTATCAATTCACTATTACTTATACAATATTATTATTTATTATCAATTTACTATTAATTATACAATATTA